CCTAAGAATAAAGTTTTGGTGAGTGTCATTTATTTTTCAAGAGCAACTGATTCAGGTTTGTCCATTCAGACAATACCCATGAAATGCCTAAAGCTCAGTCATGGTAGATAAGTCTGTGGTAATTCTACCTGATTTTTCGGTAGACATCACTTTATGCTCTGACCATGCTTCTGTTTTGTTGCCATTCACAACACACACACTCTTTCTGAAAGCCCATTATTATTATTTATGCCATCATAAGCCAGTTCATGTCTTTGAGCAGAATAGATAGATCTTCATATCTATAAATATGAACAAATGTGACACATCTTAGCATCATTCAAGCCTTATGAGCATGGGTCAACACGCATGCAACAGGACCACATTCACATGAGTGACAGATTCCCATGGCAAAAACCTCCATGTATGCAGTCAGTCATCAGTTCAAGTACCATGGGCATATGGCTTATGACCTAGGTTCATTCTGATTTTTAAAAGAATAGCTCTAGAGAATAAGACAATATTTACACAGTCGGTTGCACTGTGTCTCTGATTTTTTCTATAGGCTAGTAAGGAGGCAGACCCTACTGTCTGTATAATTAAGGAAACAAAACAAAGCTGCAGGCTTCCACCAGAAGGTAGGTGCTTGGGGATCGGTGTTGGAGGAAGCATTGCATTATACAGTATTGGGGTGGGGGGAGAATTTGGGGGAGAAGGACATTGATGTTCTGTCTCACTTTGCACAATGTAAACATCCCCCAGAATGGAGCCAACTCTCAGGAGAAAGGCTTTTCTCCTCAGGATGGAGAGGGTACAAATCACAAACAGAACTCATTGACATTTACAATAGCTCGAATTTTCTGTCTGTGTGTGATCAGCATATTTGCTTACTTATATATTTTTTGAAATGAAAAAGAGTAAGAATCTACACATCATACAGAGCTCAGAAGGTGAAGAAGGTGCAAAGTGGAGAAGGGGTTCTGGCGACTTGGGGCTGGTAGTAAAGGTCACATGGAAAACAAAATACAGAAAAAGATGCTGCAGCAAACGGTTGACACGTTTCTCATAATGGTGACACGGAAGAAACTAAGGGGTTTCTGAATTCTTTAGGCAGGAAAGAAACCAAAGGGGAAACCTTCTGAGGTGGTGCCAGGAAATCACAGGACGAAGCCACATGAGGAACAAAGGTGGGTTGGGAATTTGGGGAATTGATTCCATTTGTAGACTTGTCCTGATGAAACTTGAACTTGGTTAAAAAAAAATCCACCAAGATGTGTTTCAAGTTTAAGACATTCCACCCACCCACTGCCCTTGAGCTAATTCTGACTCCGTGATCCCATAGGACAGAATAGAACTGCTCCTTAGGGTTTA